ATGAAAACTAAAATAAATTATTAATTTGCAATTATATTTTACAAAGAATATTTAAAAAGGATGTGTAATCATGAGAGGATGGCATGACAGTGTCATTATTTGACATCATGTGATCTTTGATGTAGAAAATAAATTTAGTCAAAAGACAAACTACTAGAATTAAAAAGAAAGCCCAGCAATATTGCTGGATGTAGAAAAAAATTAGCAAAATGAACTGTGTTCCTCTTTGTCAAAAATAACCAAGTAGAAAAATGGTAAAAAAAATCAGAAACCTTTCAAAATAGCCACAGTACTATACAAAAAACATGAGAAGAACAGAATAAATGAAGGCTCTCACAGTGCTGATGAACAGAATGATATAATAAAGATGATCACCACTCTAAAAATAAAAATTATAATATGCACCCTATAAAAGCTCAACAAACTCATAAATTAATATGAGAGTAAAACTGTCTATAAAGGATTTGTGCATGTTGTACAGTTTGTTTATATTGCAGCAACAGACAAATATCACAGAAATACAGAATACACAAAGAGAGGTCAAGAATAGACCTCTCTTAGTGTATTCAGCAAAATGGCAGAATAGGAAGTCCTAGGCTTCATGGCTTAAGACACATTGATTTAGGTATAATATAAGGAACAAAATGCTTCCGTGAAAATGCCAAATTCAGTTAAGGAGTACCCTCCCTCTTCCAGAAGTGCAAAACAGAATTGCCATATTGAAATGTTGAGCACAGCAGAAAAGAATCTGCTTGACCTTCATTCATGCATTGCTTAAAGACAAAGATAGAATCTTTAAAAATTGTTGTTTGGACAGCTTACTTTCCTTTGGGGCTGGGGATGTAGCTCAGTAGTTGAGTGTTTGCCTAGCACACATGAGGCCCTTGGTTTGATTCCCAACACTGTAACAACAACAAAAAAAGTGCTGCTTGGGTCAGGAGCAGTGACTCATGCAGGTAATCCCAGCTATTTTGGAGGCAGAGACAGTGGAGTTAGGGTGATACACGCCTGTGTTCCCAGCTGTGAGGGACTGCACAAGTAGGAGTACCTGGGTCCAATCTGGTCAAGAGCAAAAACATGAGATCCTATCTAAAAAATAACTAAAGTAACACAGGAGCTTGGGACATCAACAAGTGATAGAGCACCTGCACAGCAAGTATGAGTCCCTGAGTTCAAAACCAGTACCATTAAAAACAAAAACAACATCAACAAAATTACTGTTTGGAGAAGTCCTCAGTATGTGCCCATTACAGAGTACATTGATGCAAACCCAAGTTATATGTCCTGATAGAATTTACAATAGTCTTTTACTCTAGACTAAAAACCTACAGCTTGTTACCATAACCAATGCTACAGGCAATTTTAAGTGTTGTGTGTTCATGAATAACCAAGGGGGTAGACTTTGGGAGGTATGGCCTAGCTGGAGGAAGTGGGTTTCTGGGGGCATGCCTTTGAATGTTATACCTGGTCCCTGGTCCCTTCCCCTTTCTCAGCTTCCTTCCTCCTTGATAAAGAACCCCCTGTGACTTATGCTCCCGCTGCCATGATTATCTGCCTCACCAGGGGCCCAGAAACAGCAGAATCAGCCAGGATAGACTGAAATCTCTGAAACCCTAAGCTAAAATAAATCCTTTCTACCTTAAGTTGTTTATTTCAAGTAGACATAAATCTGCCTGTTATAAACATAAATCTGTTTTTATTTCAAGTAAATAGGATATTTGGAGATGAAGAGCCAGTATGGACTTTTTACTTGTTCCCAGTGTGGAAAAATCTCCTGACGTAGAGAATTCAGACCAGCATGGTTCTGAGGAAGCTAGTGGCTGAGATTAAGGTGGTGACACCTGTGTTGAGCATTTGCCTGGATGTTGGAATTGAATATGAGCACAATTACTGCCTTATAGTATTAATGACCTGCAAACTGTCACATGACTACATCCAGAGGAGACAATCGAATTTGCTGAGATGTTCATCTCTGTTTCTTATGTCCTGGGATCCTCCTGCTTCACCTCTGGTTGACATTTTCAAAAGGTAAAAGGCAAGCTGGAAGCTGTGGTATATGGCTGTAAAGCTTCTTGAGGGTTCAGGAAGGAGGATTTACTGAGCCCAGGAATTCAGGGGCAGGCATGGCTCTCTCTCCCTTTCTCTCTCTCTCTCCCCTCCCCACTTCCTCTCTTTCCATTCTATCTCTCATTATATTATTTAATTTTATTTTAATTGCAGTGCTGAGGCTCAAATTCAGGGACTTTAAACCTCTGCCCTGAGACATAGTCTCTTTTTAAAAAATTGAACAGGGAGGAACAGCAGAATAAACTCTGTGCTTTTGTACTTTGCAGGGAATCCAATGTCATGAGGATGTTTGCTGCTATTATCAGATCTGCAGGTGTGTAATTTGAGCCTCAGGTATGTGAATTTTTTTGCCCAAATAGAAACCAGGAATGCATTGTGTGTGAACCCAAACTTGCACAAGGACAGTGACCTGAAAGTGCATTTTTCCACATTCCATATTTTAATTTACACACCTTTGCAATGTGACAACCTTGGGATTTGTGTAAACTCTTCTGCCTGGGATCCCAAGAGAGGCTGAGAACTCAGGAAGATCTTCCTGTGCCAAGGATCTACCACTGGTGCAATCTGACTTCTGTCCTATCAAGGACCCATTTGATCTCTGCCAAATAGAAGAGCAGACCCAGAAGTGTGTGAGATTGAGAAGACATACAATTTAGTTACTAAGAAGGGAGGTGTAGGGTTAAAAACTTCCAAAACCAATGACTGACTTTAGTTTCTACCCTCATCTTTGCTGAGGATGAAGTTGAACCAGACCCAAGAGGCCCACAGTATAAGGGCAAACACTCTTTCTTCCTCTTAGGTGTTTCCCAAAGGTCACCTCCATGAATTCTTGCTCACAATGTATCCAAGGAATAGTTTCTGAAGAGCACCTCAGTTGGATATGCATGGACTCCAGTCCTGTGAGCAGAGGTCAGAAGGACTCCTGTGTTTGTGCCACATGGAGAATAGACTCATGAGGCTGGAAACCTCACACAGTGTCCAAAGCAAAACTCAGGAGATGGGGGGAAAGTCAGAGAAGAGTGATCAGTGGGCTGCATCTAAGAATGACCAGCTGGTGCTGAAAATTGATTCAAAAGGTGCAATGAAACATTTTTTCAACCCCATCCACATGTAAATAATCTGAATATTTAAAATTAAAATAAACCTATGCTTACTTGGGAACTTAAGGTATTTTCTAAGAGACTTTACAAAGGTTGGCAAAACAATAGACTTGAAATCAAGGCCTGGTCAACTTCCCCAGGTTCATAGTCTTCTCTTCTGATTTGACAAAGTTTGCTTGCATTAAAGTCCCATCTCTACTGTCCCTTCCACCAGGCAGAGCTCTCCCTCCTCTGTGTATGTCATGGTATCTGGCATTAGTAGTGGATTCCCTTGCTTTCCTCTCTGTCTTCTCATAGGAACATGAACTCTTTGAGGCCAGGCATGCTATCCTATTCATGTGTAGGATCCCACCCTACAGTTTTCCAGTTTCATTGCTCAGGGCCTCTGCAGATGCTGTACACCTGCCTAGAAGACTCACCTACTTCTTTTCACCTGACTCTGGCTCATCTTTCGGATTCAATTGGGTGTTCCTGACATTAATCTATGCTGCTCAATACAGTGGCCCTGAATTTCAATTTCAATTCAATTTAAGTAAATTAAATTAATATAAATTAATAATTAAATAACTTTTTTTGTTGGTGATACTACAGTTTGAACTCAGGGCCTACACCCTTGAGCCACTCTGCTAGCCCTTTTATGTGTTGGATATTTTCTGGCAGGGTCTTGCAAAATATTTGCTGTGCTGGCTTTGAGCCTCAATCCTCCTGATCTCTGCCTCTCAAGTAGGATTATAGGCATGAGCCACTGGTGCCCAGCTAAATAAATTAGCTTAAAATAAATCTGAAATCAGTTATCGGTCACACAAGCCACATTTTAGATTAACACATGTGACCATAATATGGGATAGCACCGAGTGTAGAACACTTCATTGCAGAAAGTTTTGTTGGACAGAATGGATGTACAGAGGGTAGGGCTGTGTACTGTATACTCCTGTTTTTTTCAGCATAGCACTCATCAAACTTACCCTGAAATAATTTGTAAATTATGGGCTCCTTGAAGACAAGAACAATACCAAGTTTGTCTGTCATTGTATGTGAAGTAATGGACAAATAGCATAACAAGTAATGGACACTCATTGGGTATTTGCCAATAATGAATCAATAGCACGTTGTAGTCCCGAGAATTTAGGGTGTGGAGTAGAGATGTGATCTGTGGGTTTATGTAGTCACAAATACTTTTGCAGTCAAGCTTCAGATCACTTTCTGCCCTTTTTTGCTGAGTATTTTATTGCCTTTCCTGAAACTAAGCAGATAGTAATGTCCAGTTAGTAAAGATGTAGGGACCTAGTTTTTTGGTATTAGAAAGAGATTATAAAAACATCAAACTGTGAAACACGATTGAAAAAAATGCTTTTTGTGTTTTTCTACCTTCTTTGGCCAATATAACCGCTGGTGTTCATTGTAACCAAAAAGATATATTTTTTACTTTTTTATTCATTTATTCACATGTGCATACATTGTTTGGGTCATTTCTCCACCCTGCCCCCCCCAAGATATATTTTTAGTAAGTAAGAAAACATCACTTATTTTGATTTATGATCATGAAACTTTTATTTTGCATTATTAGGAGGGATAGACATGAAATGTGCAATTTATTCTTTCATAAGTTATGTAATAACACACTTTAAAAAGAATAATTGAAAGTGCTCTTAAGTGAATGAAAGTGGAATCAAAATAATCCAAAAAATTGCAGCTATGATAGCCAGCAATGGATTACATGCAAATTTTGGCAATATTAATAATATTGGCACTGGGTCATCCTAATAGAGCTTGGAAAAGTTAGCAGCAGTGGTACTGTTGCTGTCTAGAGCAGTGCTCTGATGACAGCTGTATTTATGGAGATTTGGCCTTAACTAATACATCCACATCAGCTTTGTCTCTCTCTCCAAGACTTTTTTGATAGCTGCCAATGAGGACATTCTCCTCCTTTTTAGCAGGCCTCTGCAAACCCCATTCTCTTGCAGCTAGTGGAGCTCCAAGGCTAACAAAACTGTGCACATCCTGCAGCTTCTTACGCAGCCATTCCATCCTCTCCATGGAGGCCAGGTGTTTGCTCAGGTTGTGCATAAGCTGTATTTCACTGACAGCTCTCTTCCTAGGAAGAACAGAAACAGAGGGCTACTCCATTAGCTCCCCATGTACAGTCACAAAACCAACCTTAAAAATTCAATTCCATGCCTACCCAATGCAGAATAGGCTGCAGCACTCACCTAACAGGCTTGCCATCCGTTTTTGTAAGAAAACAAATTGCAAGTAGGAAAATCATTACTTTAGCCATGTCTTTTGCAGACATCATCCTCACTAGAAGAAAAGGCAAAAATAAGGTATTTAAAAATATTTTCAGTGTTCCAAACTGTACAAGTGTACTCACAGTAATTTTCATTTATAATCATATAACCAATAACAGAGCGTGATAGTAAGGAATTGAACTGGTTTCATGAGAGGCCTCTTTATATGATGGCTACATTAGTAACATTGTACGTACACACACTTCCCCTGAGAAACCAGACAGATGACTTTTACATTCTTAGATAACTTTCTGAGGTTTCTTGCACAAGTTTTAATGTATGAATTCTAAGCCACATTATGTGTCAAAAGTTTTATTTTCAGGACTTCTTTGTCATGATTTATGTTGGGTAAGGCTTGAAATTGACTAGTCTCTTAATTAGGTAAATTAGTTAACAAATTCTGTTTCATGATGAAACTACCATAATAACAGGCACTACCATAATAACCGTAAATACCAAACTTGTAGGGTCTGATTTTGATGTTTTCCCTGAGTTAATGCACCCTTCTTCTAATTTTAAAAAGTATGTGTTGAAGCATTAAAAATCTTGTAATTTAAAATGCATTGCATTTTTAGCACTTATATGCTTATATATGCATCTATGTCCTTTACTTATTTTATTAACAATTGTTTTAAGTGTGACTTATTGCATGTGCCTCTTTTGATCACAAAGCTTTTGATAGCAATATAAAATATTTTCACCTCTTCTGCATTTCAATATACACAAAGATTATTGTGATAGGAACACTTTTTCTAAAGGCTATGGTTCTACCTCTGAAGACACATACAGTAGCTATGCACTCCTATTGGAAAGGAAGAACACATCCCTTAAGAGTAGAATAAGAAACCTTCTAATCTGCTACATCTCCACTCACTGTGCAATAAAACTATGGGTGGAGCAGCAAAGGAAAGTTTCCCTTGGGCCATGTCAGAAATGAACTCTGTAGCTAGAGGACAGGAGTATTGGTGTCTAACCCTAGCTTTGTCCCATTCACCTGGCGACCTCAGCCATCTCTGCTTTCTTTCCTGGTTCTTAAGAGGGAGATGGAATTTTTATAGTAATGCTGTGAAAAGGGCTGAAAAGGATTTAAAGCATCCTTAAAATTCATGTATGATTTTCAAATAGAAAACTAGAAAGGGCTGTCATTTGTATAAAGGGAATAACAATTCAGCAATGAAAGGGAGTTGTCCAGGGTGAGCTCTCTGTGAGCCATAAAATAAACAAGGTAGGTAAGAGCACTCTACAGGAGCAATGGAAATTTATTCCATTTAATAAATTTATATTATTTCCATCAGAATTCTTCATTTACCACCAGCCTTTTATATTTCAAAATTTTGAGACTACCAAAGCACATCATGCCAAATGTTCAATAATTTTCTGAAATTTAATATGTGACTTTTAAAATCAAAGAATCTCAAAAGAATTTAATGACAAAATAAATGACTTATGAGTCATTTCTTAACAGAAATTTATTTTATTGTTATATTTTATATTGAACATAATTCAATCCCCTTTAACATTTTTCTGTGAATAAATAACATTAAAAAAACAGTACACATGAAATAATTGCTTGATTATAAAAAATACTATAAAAATTAAAAAATCATGAAAATATGAAATAGAAAAAAAAAAGAGGACAGATGACTTACCATGCAACGACTTCAGAGAAGTTCTTCTTCCACGTGTGCTGGTGCTACACTGACACTGAGTGGCAGCTGATGAACTTCACTGCAGCCCCTCAGGTGTGACTTTTATATTAGGGCTTCTGCACACCAGGAGGAGCTTTTGTACTGCTACAGGTGATGTCATCCCCAATTCTCTGGATCTCAACTATGGGACCAAAGCAGCCACACACCCCCATTGGGCAAGGTCCATTCCTTTTAAGTTTTGGATAATTGGATAATAGAACAAAAACAGTATGGTGCTGGTAAAGGGTTTATGAAAAAAGTTCACCATCTAGAAACATTCTAACATGGTCGATGGTACTGAGTATATACTTTTTTAAATTCTGCTTTTAAAGATTTATTATAAAGTTATATTATTTAAAAATATATTTGGTACAATGATACTACTAATACAACTTTGATAACAAATCACATGTGTTACGTTTATTATAAATGCCATTCCTAACCAATTCATGTCACTTTTGATCATCATTCCAAAAAAGAACAGATACAGTGCTTTTCTTAAGAGTGTTAATGCTTAAAATGCTTTTAGTACATAATTTTAAAAGCATCAAAAGTGAAATTATTTTTAAATTCATTTAGCTTAGTTTATTCATGCATTTTGATGTGTAATAATAACATTTTATGAGCACTAATAATCCCTACTTTACATACATTGTCCTAAGTCTTTACAGTAGTCCTTTAAATTATGTGTTATTACTCCATTTAAACAGAGGAGACTTAGCCATATAAAATGGAGATGATGAAATACCATAGAGGTCTTTATGACTCCAGAGCTACTTGGATTCTTACTACTCCTCTTTTCCCCTTAAAATGTAGCCCTTCTTCAAACCTCGATCTTCCTGACTTTAATTTGCTTTGTCATCTCTTTCCAAGGGGTTGAGTCCTGATTCTCATGTTCTCTAGCTGATGACTGAGGGCCTGCTCCAAAATCTAATGGAGGAATCATTATGCTGCCACTTACCTGATTTTGAATATTGCTACAGCCTGCCCTTCACCTAGCAGGACCCCTTGAATGTCATTGATATAGCCAGGGCTCATTGAGGCAGCTTGCATCCTAACTGAAGAGCCACTTCCACAGCTATTTCTAGCATTGGGTCAATTCTCTTCGCTCTGGTTGCACTCAGGCTTTATTTATGTCACTCTTTTGCTGCTAACCATTGTCAAGGTATGACTCTCCCTCAGGTAAGAGTCAGTACAAGTTTGAACGGTAACTGACCGCATGGAGTCTAGAATGAGAGATGATGTTAGTCCTGTTCTGGGAAATGCTCTATGCTGGGTAAAGCTCATTTGGCATGTTTTCCAGGCTCCAGTTCAGAAGTATTACAGCAGAATGGAACATATCCTGAGGATATAGTTTGGTGAAAATGTTGAAAACACGACATAGAAGTAGTTGAATGAAACTGGAAAAAAAAGCCATGGGATGATTATATAGCTGAATTTTATTTATTTATAAAGCTACCATAAGGAAGAAGGAATATTCACTGTAGCTTAAGAAGGAAGGACGGGGTCAATGGCTAAAGATTACAAGGAGGTAGATTTCGGCTCAACTTGGACATTATAATTGTCAAGATAAGGAATCAGTACTTTATTAAGTACTGCATTCCCTAGCACTGGAAGTATTCAAGTAAAAGCTAGATGAACATTTATTCAGGATATTGTAGATAACTATATGGAGTAGCGGATTGACCTAGGTAACCAAGAGGTCACGGTCAACTGTAAAATTTACTTTAATTTCTTTTTTGCCATGCTTGAGATCAAACCCAGAACTTTGTACATGCTGGGCAATTGCTGTACCATTACACCTCCAGCCCTGTTTTGATCTTTTTCATTATTATTCTTCTTTATTAAGTGTACAAGGGAGATTCGTTGTGACATTCCTGTATATGTTTACATTGTACTTTAGTTAGATTCCTCCCTATCATCTCTCTCTCATCCTCCCCACACTTAAAATGATTATAGAATGTTTCATTGTTAGATTTCATATAAGAATATAAAGTACATTAACCATATTCACACTCCTATATCCCTTCCTTCTCTCTTCCCCCTTCACCTATACCCACTCCTTCACAGGACCTATTTTACAATTCGTTCTTCATTTTTAATTCCATATTTATTGTTCAAAGAGGTTTCTTGATGGTGTCTCAGCTATGAATATACTGTACTTAGGTTAAATTAACCCCTTTTATTACTTTCCCTTACCCTTTCCTTCCTACTCATTATTCAACAGCTTTCAGAACATTTCATTATGTCATCTACACAGATCAACATGTGTCATAATGTTGACTATCATTCTCTTTTCCTCCCCCTCTTTTTCTCCTTCTACCGAATACATGTTCTCTATGTAAATGTGTATCTGGTCATGTTTAGTTTTGTGTATACATTTATCTTGTGGATCTATCTTCCACATATGTGAGAAACACATGAGGACTTGTTCTGATCCTTTTAAAGATCTCTTCTGATTCAGTCTCCACTGATGTTTGTGTGTCATTTTTCTGTTATACTCTGTTGACAGAAAGGAGAATGGGTAAAGCAAATGGTTTGATATACACATTTTCATTGTTATTGTAAAGCCATAGCTAACGTTCTGAGTTTGAATTTTTCCCCACTTCTTTGGGTAAGGTTGACAGAATCAACATAATCACATTTTCACTCTCTTGTTGCTCTTACACCTATTTATAGAACAAATTGTCATTCTGAAAGCAGCAACCTTATTAAGATAGTTTTACAGAAAAATAAAGCTATTTAGACAATGACCACTCATTCATTTATCTGTTAAAATGCATTGAATATATATTAAATAGTATATATTATATATATGGTATATTATATATTCCTTCGTAGATATTATATGTTATGTATACTATTATCTGCTAGGACTGTGTTAATTGCTAAATGATTGAGATAGGATCCTTGCCCTTAAATTCAACACACAATTGTAGCATAATGTGACATACTCCGCTGGAGCTATGAGCAAAGGCTTGTAAATAAAGCACAGAGAAGGCAGCAACTACACCTCCCTGGAGTAGTTCGAAGCTGATTTACTGAGTCTTCCAATGAGTAGTTGGAAGCTGCAGTATCCTCATGGGTGATCATGAGTTTTCCATCAGAGGAAGTGAGAAAGGACAGAAGGAACAGCATGTGCAAAGGGGAGGAGGCCAGGAAGACTGCATGTTGAGCAAATGGTAGAAGAAGAGAGGAAATGGAAGAAGTAAATTGGGCATAGTTATGGAAGGTTAGTGTGTGCGTGTGTGTGCGCGCACGTGCGCGAGCTAAGTTTTGTCTTGTAGCCCTTTCTAAGTTCTAACTGTGTGTTATTTGTAATATTTTTGTGCCTTTCAGATTTTTCAAAGGACTATTTGACCTCCCCACTAAGAAGAGTTACAGCTGCCAAGATTTGACAGATAATTTATCTGAACCATCAGGTTCTGGGACTGCAGGCATTAAACAGAAGGAAACCACTCAGGAATGAGAAGGCTAAGGGCTATACAGGCATCCGGCGCTGATGAACTGTGACAGAGAAGAGCTAGGCACAGCTTTTTGCTTTGAAAAGCTCAACCTTGCTATTACGCTAAAGTTCTCTGAAGACAGAATCAGACAATGTAGAGTGGTCTTTGCATTGGAAAAAGAAAGGGTCATGAATTGTGCCCTGTTGCATTAGGGGAGGTTTAGCGTGTGAATGATGTAGTTTCCTTCACGTATGAGTAGGAATTAGCATGAGTTTGGGGACGCAGAATCAAGAAGCAGCTTCTAGGGCTAGAAAATCCAGCTACACCTCTCCTAATCCCATGTTTAATATATAGATTGGGTGGAGTCTTTTTTTTTTTTAAAGAACAGATTTGCTGAGGTATGATTGTAAAAAAGGACTTTCTTCTTCCTTTTTTATCCTACCATCCCTTCCCTTCCCTTCTCTTTCCTTTTCTTCCTTTCTTTTCTTTCGGTACTGGGAAATGAAGCTAATGTCTGGCCTATGCTAGGCAAGCGCTCTACCACTTGAGCCATGCCCTGTCCAAGTTTGACATATTTAATGCATAAAATTGGTGCCTTTGGGTATCTACAGACACTCATAATACTACAGTCACAATCAAAGTAAGGGGCATATTCAACACCTCCCAAAAGTCCCTTGTGTCTCCTCCCCCTTTATTGGAAGAACATTTAGCATGAGACCTAGTCTCTTAATAGATTTTTGAAGTGCATAGGACAGCATTTTTATCTGTCAGCACTATGTTGTACAACTCTTTCTGGATAGTGTCTGTCTTAACAGCTGACTCTCTTGTTTGCTTTAAGCCCCTCTGTGGGATACTGAGTTACTAAGCAACTTTTGTTCTTTCAGGAAAACAAATAAAACAAAACTTTCCTCCCTGCTTTTTCTCACCAGCCCCCAAACTTATTTGTTGCTAAAGACAATGAGCAAAATGCTTAAATGACTTATTGTATAACCACTGATGAATTTTTATTAAAGTATTTTTATAGTATTCAGTTCCTTATTTTTCTTTCTCTGTACCCATTATTGACACCTCCTGTGAGTGTGGTTCTCTAACAGGCAGAATTTGACAAACCACTGACCATTTTACATTCATAAGCTGTTATAAATCCTGGAATCCACTACACCTGCATATCTCTTCAAAGATAAAATATGCAGACACCATCACAAATAAAATACTACTTGTTGCTTTTTATCCATTCTGTCAATGAGCATCAAAATTTCCTGTGTCTACAGTCTTCTACATATTTGTGTTGTCTGCGAGAGTGGTAAGATGACCCATACTACTTTCATGGTCAGAAAGAGGAATTTCTAGAGGCAGGGACCGAGGGAAATGCTGAGCTATTGGATCTCTGGATGAGACACTCTTTCCAAATACAGCAAGGAATGTATCTGTCTTGTCACAGTGTAATCTGGGGTGTCACTTGGGGAAGTCAGTAGGTCTTTATTGGATTGGAAAAGATCTAGTTGTGCAGCTGCTTCTGCAAAGTTCTCTATGACCCAGGGAAAGAATGGAACATGTCCTTGAGGCTTCCTCATTCAAAACCATTTTCAGATTTAATCTCCCACTGTCTGTTTCTTGAGGAAAGAGAGGGAAAAACATAGGCTCAATTCAGAACCACTGGTATTTGTTTGCTTGTTTGTTAACCATAAGGAAAATAGGCAGCCATAGCAATTTAATTGAGCAACTTA